TAGTTGCACATCCATTCTAGTTGCTGTATGTGGGACGCGGCCTCAGCATGGCCAGAGAGGCGGCGCGTCGGTGCTCGCCCGGGATCCGAACCCGGGCCGCCAGCAGCGGAGCGCGAGCACCCAACCGCTAAGCCACGGGGCCGGCCCTATCGACAGTTTCTTAATGTAACATTCCTTTGAAGAATTATTCCTCTGTCAGAGTAGATTTGGTTCCCTTTATTATTCTCTTTCACACACAACTGAAGAAAAGTTTTGTTACAACATTAACAGAATGACAAAAGTCTAAGGCTGTGATCTTAATCTCTTTAAAATCTCTAGCTGACAAGGATGTAGGATTAAAGGAGAGCCATATGCTCTGACAGCACAGAACAATACAACTAAAACAAACAAAATTAGTGGGGAGAGAACAGACTGTTTCAACTCCTTTCAGTAATCATGTTATTGGTAGTTATTACAAGAATGTTTTTTCGTATAATATGGGTTTGCGTGATACACTAATTCTAAAATTCCCAGTCTTCTTATTCCTTAAGAACTCACAGAGATTGGATAAACATAGAAATATAAGACAGGAGAATTTAAATAAACATTCTATAGTCCTGAATTTTCACTGAATTTGAAATATCAGCACAAAGCCATGAGGTGATATATCTATATACAAATATATAGATACAGATATCCCCCATTTATGGAGGATACATAAAGCCAACTTCTTAGTGTTGAACAGTGGTAAATAAAGGAAAAATATCCAGCAAGTACACTGCTCTTCCTATGCTAAATGTGCCACTGGTAACCAAGTAACAGAGGAGGAAAACTTTCTCTTCATAGAATTCCAGCTAATAAATGAAGAAATCATAGAAATAGAAAATAAAGACGTTGCAACTCCTAGTGATTCATGGATCTAGGCGTTTTGCGTCGACTGCCACAATCATCTCAAAAACAGAAGTGCCTGTCTCCTGAGAAGGAACACCCCACACCCCACCTCCTAGGAAGTAGTCTTGTCGAAAAAACAGTAAAAGGGGAAGGGATCCTGAAGCTAAGTCTCTAGATCCAATTACTACTTCACAGGAAATATAGAGGAGGGGAAAGCATGTTCAACTATGCCCCATGAAAGTAATCAACAAAATCCAGATCATGAGAAAACTCTACAAGATGAATGATCTGATTTTTTCAACAGATAAATTAGAAAAGAGAAATAAACCTAAAAATGATAAGAAACTTAAAAAATATAACTAAAAAAAGTAAAACTAAACTATAATATTTAAGGATGCACAACCTGGGTAATAAAGCAATGTTAAAAAAGCAAGGAAGTGACTATATAAAAACCAGAATAGGTGCCGGCCCGGTGGCGCAAACGGTTAAGTGCGCACGCTCCGCTGCGGCGGCCCAGGGTTCGCTGGTTCGGATCCCAGGCGCGCACCGACGCACTGCTTGGCAAGCCGTGCTGTGGCGGCGTCCCATATAAAGTGAAGGAAGATGGGCACAGATGTTAGCCCAGGGCCGTCTTCCTGAGCAAAAAAAGAGGAGGATTGGCGGATGTTAGCACAGGGCTGATCTCCTCACAAAAAAAAAAAAAAAAAAAACCAGAATAGTGGTGGTTACTCTTAAGGGGAAGGAAAGGTACATGGGAGAGGGCACTGCATTATATAAATATATTTCTCAATTTCGTGCTCAATAGTATCATAAAAGTAGAATGCTGTAAAAGTAGAATGCTGAGCCAAAATACAGAAAGAAAAAAAAAATAAAACTTAAATAAAAGAGCATAACATCACTTTTAGTTATGGTGTGGTCGAAACCTTGTTTATGACTCATTTTACAATTTCCATGAGAACTCCACTCAGTCTCACATGCCCCTACTTATTCAATCGCCTCCAGCTGGGAGCAAAGGAATTTACCTCAGGAGGTGATCAATGACTTTAATCCCCTGCCTACGTGTTCCTTGAGGCATACCGTACCTTGGAATGCAAGGACACATCTCATTCATCTGCCCCCAGGCCCTAAACTTTAAGACTAACCAGATCACCTAATACCTTTTCCTTTGACATTTCTATACAATAGTAAAATAGCTAAAATCGTATATAATGGCCCCACACAGAAACTTCCACGCAGCAGCTCTTTACTGCCCATGGGTCCTGTCCCCACGCTGAACGCAAAATAAAGGTGCGCAAACAGACGAGCAGCTCATGTCTGAAAATTTTTGACTCGAGACTCAGCGCCCCACTTCAGTTACATTTAAAACTTTACAGAAATGCTTCCCTAAGCAATGACAAGGTACAAAGTTTGCAAACAGTGCAGTACAGCTAGTGTGAAGCGCTTTGTGAGCATATGCTTGAAATAACTGCTTGTTTAATTCCAAAATTGCTGAATTGAAATTTATGCTCAAAAAGAAAGGGAAAAAAAAAAACCTCTAGTTATGGAAAGACCTTAAGATTCAATTACATAGGGGAAAAATGGAGTCAGTAAAACTGAAGGGATTTGCACATTTCAACATATTTGCTGATCTACTACATGCAGAAATTACACTAGGTACTAGTAACAGGAGAAAATGTTTCAAGATTTACTATCTGTGGTCCTGAGCTTTTGTTTTCTGTCAATTTTCCTCACTTCACCTTTAGATCTGGGGTAACCTTAAAACTCAGTCCTGTCTCTCTGTCAAAGAAATGTACTTCATTAGTCAACTTCTTGAAGGAGTTCTCATGACAGTCTCTGTCTTCACCCACATTCTCATTCGAACACAGCATATTCTGGTATCTTACTTGCCACATTACAGAAAGTGCTTTCTGTGGTTAAAAATGGCCTAATTGTTTAACCTGATGACCTCTTTTCAGAGCTCATGTTTTACCTGATGTCTCCAAAATATCAGACGTTGCCCAAGACTACCTACTCCTTGAAAGTCCCTTTACTTTGCTTCTATTTCACAAACCTAACATTTTGCTAGTGTCCGGGAGAGGGAGAATCCCCCCCGCCACGCCCTTTCCCTTAAAGGTTCTTATGGCTGGCCAAATAATTAAAAGACAGGTTAGCAAGAGAAAATAATACTGAGTTTAATAACATGTATACATGGGAGAAACCAGGGAAACTGAGTTTCTCAACACAATAGCAGAGATTCTCGTCTTAAATACTATCTTCAGCTAAAGACAAAGGAGGATGTTGGGGGGAGTCAGTTATGGGAGATTACCAGAAAAGCACAGTAAACAAGAGTAAGGTTATTATGCAGATTTAAGGCCTCACCTTTCACACTAATAAGTTTTTAGAGATGAGGTCATCCCCCCCTCTTCCTAGTACAGAGAGGGAGGAGATACCCTTACAAATGGAGATTTCCCTTATAAATGTAAATGTTTGGCAACTCCTAGCAGGGCCACCTAGAGAATGTGGCAGGGAAGAGACAGAATTTCTGATAAGAGGGGCCCACTGGTGCCTTTCCTATTGTAACATCTATTTTACATTATATTATGGCCCTCAGATAGTAACTCCTTCCTGGAACGGTCTTCTATGTTAAATTCTTTAGGCAGTTAGTGAGAGAGGTCAAATGTCCATCAGAGAAAACAATCAAGGTAAAGAGACATATTTCAGGGTGGCCAATTTTGATCTCCCACACTAGCCACACCAACTCTTCCAACTACCCATAAATGTTGGTGTCCCTTGGGACTTTCCTCTCTGGCCTCTTTACTTTTCAATTTGACACTCCCATGTTGGATTCAACTATTCTAATATCCTTTATTTGCAAAACTCTTGGCTCCATTCAAGACTTCCTTCTTGATCCCCAGGCCTGTAGCTTCAGGCGTCTACTGAGCATCCAAACCTAGCTATCCCACAGGTACTTCAAACTCAATATATCCAAAGGAGATGCGTTAGCCTTCTCTTCCCCTGACCCATAATACTGACTCATATGCAGGAGGATTCAGTTGATTCCAGCTCTGAAATGTCAATCAAATTTGCCCAGTTGGCTCCAACTCTCCCAACTACAGGCAGGCCCTTGATAGGATTCAGGATGTGCTAACCTCCAAAATATAGCACCTTGGCATTTTGAATATTTGAAGCTGAAGGAGTTTGAGAAAACAGCAGAAGCAGGAAGGTCACTCTGACCTTCCCCCTGCCATTCTCCCCTGAAACAGGTCATAAAACCCTCGGGTGAGAGGTGCCTTCCCTATACCTGGAGGAAAGGAGGATCCTTATCTCTAAAGACAAAGGGACAAAGAGAAGAATCCTAACAAACAGGCCTTGCTAAGCTTCCCCCAGTTAACTGCACTTATCTCATACTCTCTGATTTATCAGATGCTCCCATGACTCTTCATCAAGCCTAGCATAATATACTCAGGTTTAACGGTTTCTCGGGTCTTCATTTCTTTACAGAGGATCCTGTGTCACATAAAACTTCAATAAATTTGTATGCATTTTTCCTTTCATCTGTCTTTGTCAGTGTAATTTTCAGACCCAGTCAGGGACCCTAAGAGGGTCAAGGAAAACTTTTTCCTCCCCATACCTTCATTATCTTTCACCAGGACCAGACAAATGACTTCCTAACTTATCTTGGCTACAGTTTCTCTTCCTCCATGTATTTTCTATAACTACAGCAAAGTTGTCCTTCTAAAGCAAAACTCAGATTATTTAATTGCCCTGACTAGATATCTTTCATTTGCAAAAAAAGTATCTTTTTTTTTTTTAATTGTGGTAAAAACACTTAACATGAGCTCTACCATCCTAACAGATTTTTAAGTGTACAATACAGTATTATTAACAAGCACAATGCTGTACAGTCGATCTCTAGAACTTATTCATCTCGCATAACTGAAATT